TAATATGTGATCTTTTATGGGTTTCCAGTTTGTCCTTCCTGTAAAACTCTTGATTACACAGATCACAATGAAATTCCGGGGGTTTATGCAGTTTTTCGTGCCTAGTTAAATTTTCCTTTCTGTTGAATACTTTCCCGCAGTGACATTGATATGTCTGATAATTAGCGTTATGTTGCAAACGTTTATGTCTTGCCAAACCAGTAGCTCGTTTATACCGTTTACCACAGTGGCAGGTGTATGTTGAATGCATGGCGGGCATATTTTTATAGGCCTAGCTGGAAATATATTAATCATATACGTGTAATTAATAAATGTACTTTACCACTATCACGATATTAAATTCAACCTTATTAGAAAATGAAAATCAATAAACTGACAGATTAATATGCAGTAAGTAATAAAACATTGTTCATATCTCGAATTGTTCGATATAATATGTTTCTGTATATTAATTTAATATATGGAAACACAGTTACTCGAAGCATTGTGTGAATTATACATCTGTTTCTGATATTATATATGATTTTAAGATACATTATTAAATCTCACTTTTGAGCAACACACTGTGTGAAATAAACATTTGTTGCTCGGGTTTCTGATATTATATATGATTTTAAGATGCATAATGAAATCTCACCTTTTAGCAATGTATGCTTGATTCGTGCTCTTTATGTTTATACTTGTCCTACGTCTCCTCCTATTTCCTAATCATGCGCTTGTTGCATCCAGATGTGGAAATGTGGAAAGATTGCGATGTAATGTCCTTTATAATTTGGAGAAACTCCTTAAAAACTAGTTTAAACCGGTTCTGAAAAATACTAATTTTGTTCAAAAATATTCGGTCGTTTAACATTTGCATCTAGTTTGCTCTATCTAATGTCTTCTTTTGATTTAATCAATAAGGCTGCACTCGTTAACGTAGCAATCATAGCAATTGAGCCGAGAAGTATTTATAGTTATACATATTACCTGGCCAGTTAACTTACATAGAATCTTATAATCAGTATAATTGATTTAGACTTAAGGCTAAAACAAAATTAACGTTTTAATAAATCAAACTAAACGAGGTAGTGACAGTTATGACGTGTACTAACTTTAATTAATTGTTTTTGGCGGGAAATTGTTAATATAGTTCTACGTACAACATGTAAGAAATCACTCGAGTCTGTACCGGCGGGTACGGTCTTACCTATTATCGATTACCAGTCAATGACTGACGCGTTTTTATTAATTTTACTTCACCGGCTGTCAATATTCCGTATCAAATTACCAGAACCTGTACCGACGGTACAGGCTTTCAAGGTTAAACGGGACGCGTACTGGTTTATCGATTTATTGTTTTTGGCGGGAATTCGAATAGTATCCTTACAGTAAACGTACAAACGTGGGGTAGGGCGTCCGTTACCTTAGGGCCCGAGATTCCCGAAATATGTACACGCCACCACGCCGAGGGGGGAGGGGTGGGGTCCCCGTATGTGCCTCCCGAGCTCAGGGAGGCTCACAGATGTCCCTCCCCATTGGAGCCCATGTTAGGGAGGGTAATATGAAAAATCGTGTCCCTCCCCATAGGACTCAATGTTAAAGGTGCGTCAGAACTCTCGTTTCTGTAACTACTGATCGTAGTTGGCACCACGTGAAACTGAAGGAGGAAAATTGGCAGAGTGGGCAACAGATAATATAAATGGACTGAAATTTGAAAGCCGAATGTGTACAGTAAAGTACTTTAAATAGATAAAAAGAAATTGTCCAAAATTGCAATTTTCACTTGCCTCAGACACTTCCAGAATAAATATGAGATTATTATAGTACTATGTTATGTGATTTTTGGATATGTGGATAACACATTAAAATGACATTTAAGAACCTCTATCTGCCTATTGCAGGCTTAAAACCGAGCTGGATCTTCCAGGAAATCTGGTCAATCGTCTTGCGAACTTGTTCACAGCAAAGATATGACAGAAAACCTGACCTGAAACCTGTTTCCAAACGTACACTACCTATCAAAACCCTACGGCAGACGCAAGTCGACCGTAAGCCCGACGTGCTGCCGCCGTGGAACCTCTCTGCGGTCTGGCTACGACCTGTTGATTTCTATGGGGACCGCAGAAATGAAAAAAAAATATAACTCCGAGTTTTAATTTCTGCGCCTACCCTGTAGCCTGTAAAAATCTGTATACGCCAAAAGGAGACCGTAAGGCGACCGTAGTTTTCCTACGATCGCCGCAGAAATTCACTGATTTAATTGATCTGCGGTCGACTTACGGTCGCCGTACGACAAATGTGACTGGGGTGTTAGGGACGGAATTAGGAGCTCCTGTAAGATCATATAATTCTTGTATGAGTTGTTTGCTGGCGTTTGTGTGAAAATAAAGAAGTCAAAATTTCCTTAGACTGGATTTACATTTCATAAGAGTCATTGCGGAGTTTAAGTTAGATAAACCATCTGTATTGGGTCTTAAGATAACTAAAAGCCTCGGGCTCATCGGTCCTCGGCTATTATTTATCCTGAAACGCAGTACTCATAGTTTGTCCGTAACTGAATCAGATTCTATTCTGTTTCTGATGTTATAGACTGCTAGCACTCATGTTTAAATATTTATCAATAAAATACCAGAGCTTATAATTGGTCAACGGGAAAACTAATGAGACCAATGTAATTTAAGGCGTCAGACCTATTGTACTTCTTTGTATTTGTATGTCATATTTTAATATGTAACCGTAACTACAAGGTCGTAAGTTTGTGACTGGTTTCTTATTGTGCCAATCGCCTTACTGGCATTATCAGGCTAAGCTGAACAACATAATTATTAAGTACCAATGCAAATGTATGCAACAAGGAAGCATAAAGGCAAGCTGTGTAAAAAGGTGGGAAATTGGGCAGGCTTGGGTCCATGGTTTCAGTGAGAGAGTAGTGGGAATAGGTTATACTTGCACGGAGGGTCCCATAGAGAAATATAACTATAATGTTATGTGTTTTTTTTATCAAAATGTTGGCAACAAGAGCAAAAAGTTCATTATTTTGTGCTAAAGAATAAATGTTTAGGTGTTTCAGGTGCACCGCAAGTACAATTTGGTGTTTCAATATAAGTGAAGTTGTGTCCATATAGTTGAGCTTTTGTAAGCAGGTCAACTCTGAACCTATTGAGGACTATTTCTTGATTTCTTGTTAGCTTTAACTTAGTAGTTGGATGATAGTCTGGCTTTGGAATTTTCTTTTTTTTGTCAATGATTGAAGCTGAAAAGTGTTTTACAATCTCTAATATGCTTAGGTAGCTTATTTCAATGGGAGATGGCATTGAGGACAGACGAGTTTCTAAATTTGGTTGAGCATTTGGTTGGTATTTTGAAGTCGGGATTTGATATGAGTTCTCGAGGGTTTTGAAATCTCAGAGGTTCAAAAATATCTGTCACATAGCTTGAAGTGAGTCTATTTTAAACTCTAAACATAAATTTATTTATTTGCAATGACCGCCTTGTTTCTAGATCAGGTCATATGAGGGTATTCTTTACTTTAATTGAACTGCTATCATGCAGGCATCCACTGCATATAAAGGTAGCTTGATAAAATAAAATAGTTTATCTAATATGTAAAGGATACATTGAGTAGAAGAATCATACAGTTTTGCCCCATAGTCGAAGTGTGGACGAATGTAAGACATGAAAATTGTTTCGAGGACATTAGAATTGAGTTTCTTTTGAATGATCTGAGAGGGTTCAGAAGCTTGTTTACTTTATTTCTTATGGCTAATATATGTTGTTTATTAGACAAATGCTCATCAAAAGTATAGCCTAAGTGTTTATGCGATGTTTCCCTTTTTATTAAAGCATTACTCATAAAGGAATTGTTTACTTGACAAATTTTGATTCTAGAATTATGAAAACTATTTCGAAACTTTTTTCAGGCTTAAAATTGAGTTTCCATTTAGTGGACCAGGATTCAATTCTCTCTATTGCTTGAGTGACTTTGTTATCAATTTCAGAGAACTTTTTAGTACTAAATGGGAAGGAAATGGAAGTATCATCTGCGTATATAAAACAATCAGTATCTATGTTATCAAGAAGGTCGTTTATATATATCTAAAAGAGAAGGGGACCTAGAATTGAGCCTTGTGGTACTAAACTTTTGATCCGGCAAAAATCCAGATTGAAATTTGAATAACAGGTCATTTGATGTTTTTTAATTCTGTTGGCAATTATTCTTTTAAAAAGCTTTGATATACAGTCTAAAAGGGTGATAGGTCTATAATCCGATAAGTCTGACTTACTATTTTTCTTGTTGATTGGGCAAATGCTACCAATCTTCCAAGATTTAGGAAATACACTATGCTGCAGTAGCATGTTAAATAACTTAGTCAAGGGATGGGCGACAGTATGAGCACTTAAATGGAGCATTTTATGAGTTATGAGATCAGGGCCACATGCCTTAGATGTGTCTAGACCGGAGATACGTTTCATGACCTCGGATATATCAGTTCTAATTGAAATAAGCAGGTAGTCTGTTCGCATGGGGAAGGCTGGTTTGTTATCATCTGAGATACTGTATTGTGGTCATATTTTCCAACAAAAAAGTTAAGCCATTGGCCTTATCAGTGTTTGTGTTTAAGCTTTTCCCATTAGTATCAAATAGAGCTGGAATAATGTTTGAAGTGTTGTTTCTGCCTGTTAGTTTGGAGACCAATTTCCAAAAGCTTTTACCATTCTTATTTAAGGATTCTACTTTTTGAACGACGTTTTTCTTATGTTGAATTTTGGCTAACGAGATAAGATTTGTAACTTTAAGGATCCGAGTATGGTATAGTTCAAAGTTCAAAGGACATGGGGGATATCATGTTTTTATGTTAAAGATAAGGGGGAGAACATATTTATTTGACACCCTGTGTACACCTAAAGGCACTCTTTAGTTTCACCACATTAAATATGCAATTCCCTTTAGTAAATGCGTTTCAGTAATGAGTTGATCCCCAAGTAAGATTATTTCAAACAAAAACCCAACAATCTAGTTTATTTCCACATTATTGTATTCCTTCATTTAAAAGTTACATAAAAGACTAGTTATACTTTGCCCGTGCGAATTATTTCACGATGTTAACTTATAACTGTTCGGAACATATCAATACTCCTTTTCAGTCATGTAACGATACTGCAACCGAGGACATCAAATCGCATAGAGGGTCGGTCATAGAAAGCTGTAGGTTGGATGCGGATGTATCGTGCTTGCAGTGGTTGATCGAACAATCTGGTGACTTGGCTTGTCCTATCAGAGTTGCCATCGAAGATCTGCAAAATATGCAATTAAATTCATGCAGTATTGTATATATACTCGACAATTTACAATTTGTAAATTATATATATGGGAAAAGATAGATGAGCTAATCAGCGAAAAACAACATTAAAATATTTGAAATTATTGTTATTATTAGAAGTGCTTTCATGATGATGAGAATCAATTACATATTATGTGAGTATTGGCAAAGTATAAGCAGCATGCAAAAGACATCCAATAGCAATGGATATGACACCCATTTTAGTCTGAAAGAAGTTTTCGACAAGTATTTTCTCAGCAATAGAATGTTTGAAAATTTGTATTATTTATTATATTATTAACGTATTGTATCATTAGCAAGTTCTATGGACATGAAAGAGATTCGCTTCTTTTCACATCATGCAAGTATTGTTGAATTAAAAATAGCACGCCAGGGTATTCAATATCAATAGAAGAGTTCCTTATCTTTGACTGAAGAAAGTCGTTTTCTCGAAGCAGAAATGCTTTTGTGCATTTCTTAAATGATATAACGGCCTTTAACATTATTATTCCTTTTTAGTGCATGGTGGATGAACTACATTTGTGTTCATACGTCTATTTATAGTTACATGACTCCAAATCAATTAATTTTCATCAATTCCTATGATACGACGTCAGATACTGTACATCACGGCGTAACATTGTAATTGTCCATTTTACCGACAAAATGCAAAGATTTACGCGATAAATATGCGCAATGCTCCTCCAAGTAATTGCAGAAGTTTTAATATTCGTGGAATCTTCTTAAAAACTTCAAGTTTTGTTCAGATTAATGTGTGCTTCAATACAATTCTATATTCAAAAAGGTTGTATCACGATATACAGAATTAGAATCACCAGAAAGTAGACATTTCAAACCCTACCCGTTTTCTTCTTTGTCGCGCTTTTCGGCCCCGCGCTCTCGTTGTCGCACCGTCTTTCTAGACACTTTCAAAGTGCCCCTTGTCATATTCAACTGATATACACAGACGGGAAGATATTAAGGATTGTTAAATGCATTATTTGTAATTGATTTTAACTCGAATATTTAGTTTTATTTATTTGAAGCAATAAATAAAGGAGAACATATAATACGCTAACGGCATAACGTCTTATTTTGTAAAGGCTTCACTTGGGGTTGCGGTGATAAAATGATGTCTATCTCAATATATACTGGATCAAATTAAATGAAATTAATTGTATGTAGTAAGGGGTATATTTAATAGAACATGCTGAAACATTGAAAAGTTTTGAATGTTTATCCCTTAATTAGAAATATTTGAACTCAAAAAATGAAACGTAATTTTGTGAATTTTTCACATGGCTTCACTTCATATTTCTTTCAATTTATGCTTCTTACAGACTGAATTTCAATCGAAATGATATAGTTTTTTGATAAAAATATAGAATATGATATGCCTTTCAGGAATCAAAAAATAATAATTCACCTTTCAAACGATTTAATGTTTAATTGATCAAAATATATATCTTGTTGGTACGAAATTCTGCCTGTCCACACTTTTTTTGCATAAATATAAGCGTTAAGTTAGCATTGTTATATTATGACGTCATCAACCAGAATCTGTTTGTCTTTTTCAAAATGGTGGATTTAAATATTGTGAAAGTTTGAGAAAGATCCATTAAGAAATGAAAAAGTTATCTTCATTTTTCGTTTAAAATTGAAATCATTTTTCTTCAAAATGTTACAGTCCACACCCGGTTTTAGCATATAAAGTCGCATAATACGGCTTGCGTGATTCGCATTTAAAAAGTCCCAAATCAGTTATTTGGAATTCTGATAGGCAAAATATTTCATGGACATACGTGTTCAACTGATGACGAAAAATTGTAGAAAAATATGATTTTGCTGTCGAGATATTGCGGTTTTAAAAGTAAGAACGCATGTAAAAATGCAGTAAAATGCCGCGATGTACAGTATCTGACGTCGTATCTATATGTTTCATATTCCTGTATGATTCTTTTCACCTTGATACAGTTGTCAATGGTAACCGTATGGCTTTCACTGAAATGTATCTTTTATCCTTCAAAACTGGAATTTTGGACAGACATATGTTTTGTCCTTAGGGGGGGGGGGGTTAAAGATACCTATTATAGGTGGTCAAAATTAAGCTTAAAGCAATGGATCGCATGAGTTTTACCCATGGGAAAATAACATGGGAAATATTCTTTTCCACTTTTTCTAAAAGAATTAGTTATTCCTCGAAAGGGGTTAACTATGTGTCAAAACGCAACATACACTCCCCTCCATAAGTTTGGCAACCTTTTTCCCCCATTGAACTATGTGTTAAAGCCTCTTTACGTTTGAGTTTTTATTTACTTAACCGGAGATGAAATAACTTGTAATATTGATGGAAACGTAACTTGACTTTATTTCCAATACCTCCTAATTTTCTCGATTTTTTTTCTCAATTACAATAGGTCGACAATTGATGATAAATTTGATGAATTTTTGAAAATCGTCATTCCCATGTAATCCAATGGGAAATGGAGGGTTCGGGGCAAATCAGAAATCAGGATATCTTTTCAGTAAAAGATTCGGCAAAAAATATTTTTATATAGAAAACTGAATTGTCTAACTTTTTTGAACACTAAGTGTTTAGTTTATTTGATGAATATTTAAGTTACAGCGCTTCAAAGTCATTTTTGAAAATAATTTTTCGCCTCCTGTGTTATTTCAATGGGAGAGGTTTTTTGAAAAACAATTTTGACTTTAAAGCCCTATAACTTTGTTGAACCTGAAGAAACATATCAATTTTTTGTTAAATAAAGTTAGCAAATTCAATTGCCTGCCTAACTCGTATTTTTTGCAAGGACTCAGATGGATGGATATTCTGTCATATGACTTGCGGCAAACCTACCATTTCCCGTTGGTTAACATGGGAATGTCGATTTTCAAAAATTCATCACATTTATCATCAATTTTCGACCTATTGTAATTGAGGAAAAAAATTTGGAGGTATTGGAATTAAAGTCAAATTACGTTTCCATCAATGGTATAAGTATTTTCATAGCAGGTTAAGTAAATAAAAATTCAAAGGTAAAGAGGCTTTAACACGTAGTTCAATGGGGGGAAAAGGTTGCCAAACTTATGGAGGGGAGTGTATTGATGCAACAATAATTGAAAAGCAGGGGTGGAAATGGTTGAAAAGCAGGACAAAATTTCAAGAACAAATTCGATAAAAAGTATTGAAATTTCACAAGTAATTAAAAGTGAGACGCTTGGAACATATTTTATGACAATCAAAGTGTACAATTCATAATCCATGGCTAGATGGCATGTTCAATTTTAATTTTGTAATGCAAATTATGTTTTTTAACAAATAATGAAACGGTTGTCGCATTTTGAAAAAATAGCGTTTTGGCCCACCCTGTATATATCGGCGTAGCTTGGCATGAGTCATACTTCATACTTATTAAACCAGCCATCTTTTACACATCGTCAACTTAATGGTCATCTTTAATTTTGAATACTTTTTTCTTGGTATCATATGTTCGGAGTTAAATGAGACATCTTTCCGAACCTCATTGAAACAAAACGACATAAACACTACGTGTTTAGGTCTCTCAATACTGTAATTGTACAAAGGAAATTTTAAAAAAGTATCGTCTTCATGAAATCAAAGGGTCATCTAAATTTTCATCTATTTTGGGGTATTTTGCTTAAACTTTTTGAAAACCTTTTGTTTAATCAACCAAAATTTCCTTTGTATAACGATGATATTGAGAGATCCAAGTAAATGTTGTGTACGCTATTTTGTTCCAACAAGGTTCGGAAAGACATTTTATTTCATTCTCAAGAATTGTTAGAAAAGAACAAAAAAGATTGCACAAAAAACAAAAAATGTTAACAAAAAACGTTATATAAATAATTTTCGCATTAAATTGTTGTCAATCAGTCAACATTTCATAAAGGACCATGTTCTTTACAGAATGTTTTCAATAATTGGTTTAAGAGAAAAACACTTTTGGATTCACTTCACCATATCGATACCTACCCCTTGCCTCAGTTATTCAAACTTGCCTCACAAGAAGGCCCTGATATACAACTAAAAACAAATGTGTCATTTGAATAAACCTTCTGAATATGTTTTACCTGATTCCCATCCTTCGCGATTAGCTCAAAAGAACTGCCATCAGTGCTGTAGTACACTTTATATGACGTTACCCACTGGTTATAATCCGCTCTACCCTGTGTAACAACACCATTCACTTGCATCAAACTTCCCAAATCTGCTTGTATCCATTGATTCCCATTCACTGTTAATGGAACCCATGCTCCGCTCATTGTACTTCTGAAATATGAAAATATCGCTAGGCTGCAATTTCAGTGTATGCACCACATTGCAACCTGGATTACAACTCAATGCGTACGTTTATTTCATGTTGGTAAAATTCCCATCCACTGTTAATTATGGGACCCTTGCTCCGCTACTTGCACTTCTGAAATGTGAAAATATCGCTAGGCTGCAATTTCAGTGTATGCACCACATTGCAACCTGGATTACAACTCAATGCGTACGTTTATTTCATGTTGGTAAAATTCCCATCCACTGTTAATGGGACCTATGCTCCGCTACTTGCACTTCTGAAATGTGAAAATATCGCTAGGCTGCAATTTCAGTGTATGCACCACATTGCAACCTGGATTTCAACTCAATGCGTACATTATTTCATGTTGGTAAAATTCCCTGCAATCTTAGAATTTTAGGCCTTAAAAGGCCAGGTAATGTTAATAAGGCCCCACATTTTTTGAAAGCTTTTGTGCCTAGACCTAAGGGGTGTATTCGAAACTAGTAGCCCTGCTCTGGGGTCCATATTACGATTCGAACATGAGAACTCACCAGAATATTGCAAAATTGTCAATTTCGATGTTCATTTCCACTTCTACTTCCGGTTGAGCGTTTGGCTGTTCCAATTTGTTTACTTACCTCCTGACCCCGACTTAAGTTTTTTTATTGACATTTCGGCCTATTTTATTGGTTTCAAGCATATCTACTGCATTGATAATTATTGAAATTAATTCTTTATTGCTCAGAAACAATATCACGGCGAATATACATATAATTTCTCCCTGCCATTTTGAATTTTGAATCCCGAGAGGGGGATACGAAAAGAACGGAACGGCCTTAACTGACCAATGAGTGCACTGAACGAAACACTTAGTACAGAGCCGGGGCATTGATCTCGAATATAACCCAGCTGAAGCATTGACTTTTTTCACAGTTTATAGAAGGCATGAATACAGTCATGTTCGAATATCAAATAAACTAACCGTTGTCCTATATGCTGATGATACTAATATTCTACTTACCAATAAAGATTTTGAATCAGATATGAATGTTGAATTAGAAACTGTTTCCAACTGGATGAAAGCTATAAATTAAGTCTTAATGTAGAAAAAACAAAATATATGATATTTAATAAAAAGAAGGATCCTGCTAATAAAAACAATATTGTTCTCAAAATTAACAAACAACCTTTAGAAGAAGTTAGAGAAATCAATTTTCTAGGTGTCATAATTGATTTGCTGATTTGGTCATCTCACATAAATGCTATCTGTACAAAAAATTCTCACTTAACTATCTACTACTCCATGATTTATTCCTACTTAAGCTATTGTGACCTCTTATGGGGAAATCCCATTAAAATTCTTATTCCAAAATTGTATGTTCTGCAAAAAAAATTCTTAAGAGTTATCCCTTATTCTGATCGTCTAGCTCCTTCAGGACCTCTCTTTTCAAAACTGAAAATATTGAAAATATTTGACATCAATAAACTACTTTCCTTTTCAAAATTTCAAACATTTATTCGTTCCAGGAAAACCAATTCATAATCATGACACAAAATTAATGTGCAATAACGTCATTTCTGCGGGCAATATAGTATAATATTGAACCGAGGGCCAAAGGCCCGTGTCATACCAACAAATGAAAGCCATCGTCACAACTCAACAAGAGGTTCACCACATGTTATCTCCAGCCCTTAAAGAAAGTACATGCAATTTTTATGATAACTGAAGTTTATATCGTCAAATGTTGTTAAAAACTGATTATTACGCATCTGGAATACAAATATATACTATCGTAATAAGTGAAGGTTTAAATCACTTAATTTTCAATCAGTATTGTCAAATTAAAATGCATGTCTATAATAGATGTTTTAATATAAATACGTCGGACTAATTTTTAGGCAACAGATAGTAGAACGCACACTGACGCAGTGTTTAATTGGTTTTGCCCTTTCGCTTTTCTAAATCGACTCATGATGCCTTGTCTCAGTCGTAACTTAATGTAAAGATAAACATTTAAAGTTTTTTTCAGTTCAAGAGATATAAAAGAAAAATTGACAGAATTTGATATTATTCAATTTTGTTTATTGTTCTTTTAATGTTAGACATGTTATGTTGTTTTTGTTTTAATTTTTGAAAGGGATGACTTGAGCGGGGTTCATTAATGCATCATTAGAAACTTTCCTCGAATTAACCTAAGGAATTTCAAGTTTAGTACCCCGAGCACATGGGCTTCAGAAAGTTTATTCAATCATTTCAGTTGTGTTATAAATGGGATAAAGGGAGATTAAAATCATAATTAATAGATTCTACGCCATTTTTTTTCAATATTGGAGAGGTTAAGCAAATACGGTTTTTCAAAACGTATACGTAAACGCAAAGTACATTGAATCAACATAGGATTGTATCGCTTTAGTCTACTTCAGACACCCGTTCAACTTCAAAGTTGCGTGTTTAGAACGGGAGATTTTAAATTTTCACGTTGCTATCAACGGGAATCATTATACTCATGTCTGTTGAATACTATCCTTGGAATTTTGATTTCGATGCAAAGTATAATTCTTTCTGAAGAAGATGATGTATGTAACGCATGATTTAACTCCAATAATCTTACGAAACGAGCTCGTTTAAAATATGTATTAGAAAACCAGCTATTGAACTTCATCAATGGCATACTATGTAATCATTACAAGCTATGGTGTAGTCTAAACAAACACTAGAGCTGAACGGCTATTTATGTGTGAACTCAACATGTATTTGTATAGGGCCGATTGATACGTTTAAGTTGCGTCTTGGATTTTATACGGTAGCTTAACCTCTCCATTGTTATCTACTAAATCTAAAATTCCCGTCCATACTCTCTGCAAAAGGTGGTATAAACCTGGAACAATATCCAGTGGATATTGGTACGGTATCCTGATTTTTTTTATAATAAATACTCTTTATTTCTTAATATCATAAATAAATTTACATTGTTATTCACGGCGTAATCGCCCAGAAAGGGCATTTCTACTGCCGCTTTGAGTGAATTTAAATAACATTTAATTACATAATCATAGTTAGTATAAGAAAAAATATAGAATTTAGATACAATCTGTTTTTCTACCTGTCTGTACCCCCGTTGGTGCCCTGAATTTGAATTACTGTTATCGATTTAATTTAATTGTGAAAATTAAAACTGCCTTAAAAATTTTAGAATTGTTTTCATTTGTCAGATCCTTGTCGCCAAAAAGTAGGAATTTTGTCTTATTTTTTAGTGTTTTGTATTTAGTTACATCTAAGTTTAGTTCATGTTTAACCACCGCTAGCGCATTTGTTTCTCTCAGAGGGCAGGACAAGAGTTTATGTTGTGCTGTCTCTCGAGCTCTACAGTCACAAAATGGATCGTTAATGAAAGAGAAATTATGGTCAAAAAGATCGGATTTGAAATATCGATTTACTCTTATCTTATTGAGTACAATTTCTTCTTTTCTATCAAGATTCTGTAAGTAGGAGGTTGAAATTGTAGGTTCGGTGTTTTTAGTGAGGTGATTGTTTAGTTGTTTTTTTGAAAAGTGAGAAGCTGTTCGTTTCCTTATGGTCTCTAGGAAGACGGTTCCACAAGGTTATCATTGAGCAAACTGTTTTTCCAGGTGTTTGGAATTTAATCTATGCTTAAGTGCCATAAGTGGATTTAATCATTTCTGAACTTTACCTTCTAGATATTCAATATGGGTTTTGAAAGTTAACTTTTCATCAAGAATTAGACCGAGTTTAATTTGGTCTATTGGAGTGTCGTTGAAAACAAAGTTTGGATATGTTCTCTCGATTGGTCTGTTTGTTTTAAAGATCAATTCTTGACTTTTTTTGTGGTGCGAAAGTTAGTCCCCATTTCTGGGACCACATTTGGATATGAATTAAGTCTTCTTGAAGGACTTGGCTATTTGTTTGGTGATTTCTTGGGTCAACCGGACAAAAAACTGATGTGTCATCCGCATAGATAAAACATTTTGAGTTTAAGTCGTCTGTTATGTCATTTAGATATAACAAAAAGAAAATCTGTCCCCATATTGAGCCTTGGGGGACTCCAGATTTGATTTGACTGACTTTACTTGACCTAGACAATTCATCACTGATCTTAATTTTAATTGTTCTGTTTGTGAGGTAAGATTGAAAAAGGTCAATTAGTGATTTAGGGATACCGTAGGAATTAGGTTTCTGAAGAAGGAGTACATGAGGGACTTTGTCGAAGGCTGATTGGATGTCCAAAAATATTGCTCTAACATCGAGACCATTTTCAAATTTTTGAAGAATGTAGTTTGTTATAGCAGTTAGTTGAAGTCGAGTGTTGTGTTCTTTAAGAAATCCAGATTGCATTTCATAAATTATCCTGATTGCAAACCCATGTCTATGATTAATTACAATGTTAAACATTTACAAAACTAAATTCACCTAACTATTTTTAAACCACATGATTGTATTTTCAAATGTTGGTAATATTTCGAATAAATAGTTGAGCAAATGGAGTAAGTCAAAACCAAATAACACGACTAATGAATATTGGTTAACTATGTATTTAAGTAAAGATTTTGTGATGGGTACTATGAATAGGCAGACTTGTAAATACCATTATGTATCGCTAAACCGCCGTTTTCAACGGTTTTAGCTGCATTATGAACTGTTCGCCGAACTCCTCTAATAAACTGCTTCAATTCGGCACGCCTACCAGCAATTAGATCAACTAATAAGATTTAGTGGTTGAATCGAATATTTCGGACTTCTAATCAAAATGGTGGCATTCTTTTTTAATCATGGTTTTGAATGGTTCATTTAAGTCGGGCGAACTTAAGACTTGAGAAACAATCGCGCGAATAAATTATCATTCTCTATTGGTTGATAATGATCGCGCAACTGTAAAATTGTCGCGCGACTAATGAAATAGACGCGCGATCATTCGCGCGGTTCTAGAGGCGATATCGCGTCATAAATCGGAGCAAATGTGACCAAGGCATAACAGCGAAAACATTAAAATAAACGTGGTTTTGCATCTTGAAGTTCTCAACAATTAATGGCTTGCGATTATTCTCTGTTCTGTTTTTATTATTACTTTAGTCTCATTTGTTCGAGTTAATAGCAAATATATTTGTTTGGTGCGTAAGGAAAATTAAAAGAAATATCGTTTTAATTAATGAAGCACCAATACTAAACAATTTTCATGGGCTTTACCGCATATTTCATCATATATAGCTTCGAAAAATTGTACACAGTAATGCCTGGGTCACATTTGCTCCGATTCATCGGCCGGCGCCAGCCCGATTGAGTATTCTGGTCAAAACTGTATACAATTTTGAGCAAAATACTCAATCGGACAGGCGCCGGACGGGGCAAATGTGGCCCAGGCATTAGGCAGGGAGTGTTAAAGGATACTTACTGTCCTAATGTGCCCAGTCTCGCCCTTTGTGGTCCAAAACCATCACCATATGAATTCGAGGCTGTCAACGCACTATCTTCGACGCTGTGAGTTGGTCCAGAAACCAAAAATTCACCATTTCCAGTGCATGCAACTGCAGGAGTTGTCGGTTCGGGAGTTGTCGGTTCGGGAGTTGTCGGTTCGGGAGTTGTCGGTTCGGGAGTGGGAGTTGTCGGTTCGGAATTGGCTGCAAGATTGTCATATTGTAAAATCAACTAGCCGAGCTTATCTGTTTTGTTAATTTACTTACCTTGTATTGTCGCTTACCTGATTAACCTACTATTCTATGACTCATTTGAATAATAACGGGATGGTGGCAGGTACTATTCATATTTAAAGGGGTTGCCTATAAAATAGCAAGTAAATTCGGTAGCCGACAGACGTTAGTTTCATTTGCGAATACAAGCTAACTTTGAAGAGAGTAAGGCTCTCAATTGTTGTATCTTAGAACAACCAAATTGTGTTATTGCGTTTTGATGTTTCATTTAGCCAATAGGTGGCAGCACGAAACAGACAGTTTCGAGACTATTGTACCAAGATGGAGATTTCTGAATAGTGAAATATATTTGAGAGTAAAACCATATTTTATGTAGTTTATTGGATATACATGAACATAAGTTATTACATCAATTATTTTACTAACTAATTAACTTGATCTTTAATATCATTTGGTTTTCTTAACTCAAATGTTCCCAACTAAACATTCAGATACATTGAGCGAGTGCATTATGTCCTAGATATAATTTATTTTGTTTTATCTATGTGAAAAAATTGACTCATATTCGTCTTGTAGAGTATTGTCACTTACCTTGTGCGATTGCATCAAAGCAATTTTGGGTTAGAGTTTTCAACTCGTCAGATTTCGTCATTATGTTTTGTTGGTCCGTTTCATCGCATGTTGCAGATTTTCTTTGCCTCTCGTTTGCTTCCACGTTCACCGCAAGCGTAACAAGCATTACTATTATAACTACCTTGAGCTGCATGGTTCCAACGAGTTGATTGTCGAGTCGATGATATTGTAGTCGTGATCTGTTTTTGCATGTACACGGTTTGAGTTAATATAACTCTTTCTTCATTAAACATTCCAGCCACTTTGCCGTAATAAGCATCAAATTTACATGATAACAATATGTGGGTACATTGGCAAATGATAAATTCAATATATGTATTCATTAAATGTATCTTTTGTGTGTCACTCGAGTTTTTTGTTCATTAATTCAAATATTTCTTATCGTATTACACGTACCAAACTGAAATACATTTGGAACTTTCTAAAAGCATTTCTTAGCATATGTTATATTCGTATACAAACTTTGGGGTTATTTTGGTACCTTTGTCCTTGTTCATGCAAATATATTAGGGCAATGTAAAGTTTAACAATAAATCAGTGCTACCCCTGGCATCCTAAATGATGAATTTTCGGGTTTTAGAACACTGTCGTGAAAGTGTAGTACGTTTACCTTTCGTTATTTGCACGTTGATATTCTCTTTACATTTCATCACGTGATGATTCAACGAGACACGGGAGAGATAATTAAAGCTTGCAATTTTTTCACAACGTAGCCGCGAACTTAAATTATATGTTCGGTTGTGTGCAAAGCAATATAAACAACTTTATAATTTATATTTATAGGAAACAAACAAATACATGTATATGTTATAATGAATATTTATCCCTTAATATAAATATATACAAACATGTTGGCATCTGGGCATCTCATGAATTGACTGTGACACTCTCTTGCGTATGAAGTCGCTTCGTTTGCGACATATGAATGAACGTTGAATTCTCCTTCATAGCAAATGAAATCAGTAGCCCCATAATGTGGATGGTGCTATATTTGAAAGCACCATAATGTGGATGGTGCGGCGTTAGTCTGAAAGCGCCATAATGTGGATGGTGCTTAGGTCTGTAAGCCCCATAATGTGGATGGTGCTTGGTTCGGAATGCACCATAATGTGAATGGTGCTAGTCTGGGAGCGCCATAATGTGGATGGTGCTCGAGTCTGAAAGCGCCATAATGTGGATGTTGCTTGAGCGATTGCGCCATAATGTGGATGGCACACCTGTTTGAAGCGCCATAATGTGGATGGTGCTCGAACAGTTAGATTCCATAATGTAATGGAATTGACGATTGCCATGAAGGAGATACGAAAAGTATGTGATTGAATAAGAATGCAAAGAACATATGAATTTGAACTTTGGGAATGGAACGAACGCAAGTAAGTGACACAGCCAAATATCGTGTGTGCAACGGATAGAGTCACGTTCATCCATCCGAATGATTGACGCGAAGGCGGGGCATGAGAATCAGTATGAATATTTTTCAAGCTTCCTATAAACGATGCTTAACAATATTAAGCAACCATATATAATAGGTTTGGCATGAATGGAGTGGTATCGATATGGTGAACTTTTTGATTTACGCCTGTGTAGGCGTAAATTACGCCCGTGAAGAAGTGAATTCTACGGGCGTTCAAACAACATTTACGGGCGTAAACTTACGGCGTTAAAATGATTAATTACGGGCGTTAAGACGGTTATTTTACACGCGTTGAGAAACATCTTCACGCCCGTCGAGTTTATCTTTAGCGCCGTAAATTATGAACCAATCAGCACCTTGCTTACATAATGATTCAATGCATCCTTGCTAAAAGAGCAACTCCAAGATCCTCATGCGCAAGTAGATAACAATCAGAAGCCCGCTTACATTTTAGTATGTTGCATTGAGGTCCTTTAATATTCGTTCAAGATTGTTAGATTTAACCAAAAAAGTATTTAATTTTAAGAAGAAATTAAAAGGCAAATTGAAAATGCTGTGTATGCAGTTAAGTTATCAAAAACCAATTGTAGAAACGGCAAAATTGCAATATATTTTAGAAGGTATACATGTTTGGTTTTTAAATACGATGATTTTTCAGATAATTCTCCGTAAGAATCTGGGCGTCGGCTTCAGAGGCAGGGACCTAAACTCACACGCATTGCAGCTTACCCCCCTATTACACCAAACTTGTTCTTACCCGTTCTTGCAATTGGTGTGATAGCTATATTTTTGCTAACTCGTTGATAAATACGTTCTTAATCAGTTTTGACCCGTTTGCAATTAGTTCTACCTCGTTCTCAATACGTCCTCAGACAGTTCAACTCGTTGTAAAAACGTCACTAGTAGGATCAAAGTACGACGGTTCCGTTCGTAGCACGTCCAGCTCGTCGTTAGTAGGTTGTCACTCGTTCTAATTGTAGAAAGTGACGACCAAGAGAACATTTTGAGCGTGTTCTAAGTTCGAGAGGACCTACCCGTTCGAGTACGTTCGATGAAGTTTGTAAATAGACCCCAAACGGTTCTAAGTACGTCCAGTCCGTTCGTACACAGTTGAAGCCCGTTTTCGAGAACGTAGTGAGAACTAGTTTGGTGTGATAGTAGGGTTACAAAGCACTATGCAGTCAGATCGCTAAAGCTACGTTCACACCAATGGCGCTTTGATGGCGCTTTAAAGCGGCTTGTAAAGCGGCACCAAAGCGTAACAAGCTTGATTAAAGCGTCGTGGTCGTAGAAAAGATCGGATATTCGGCAAGAGCGCTAAAAAAATTAAACTGTTAAAGCTCCGTTCACACCAACGGCGCTTTGATGGCGCTTTAAAGCGGCTTGTAAAGCGGCACCAAAGCGTAACAAAGCTTGATTAAAGCGTCGGGGTCGTAATAGGTCGTACAAAAGCTCGGGAGTAAAGCGGGATATTCGGCAAGAGCGCTAAAAAATTTAAACTGTTTAAGCGTTCGCACCAACGGCGCTTTGATGGCGCTTTAAAGCGGCTTGTAAAGCGGCACCAAAGCGTAACAAAGCTTGATTAAAGCGTCGGGGTCGTAATAGGTCGTAGAAAAGCTCGGAGTAAAGCGGGATATTCGGCAAGAGCGCCAAAAAATTTTAAACTGTTTAAAAATTGTGGGCGTTCTGTTACGAATTGATTAAAGCGCCGAGAGCGTATCAAAGCTTAAAAACCGTAACAAAGCTCAGCACAGCTTGACCCAAAGCGTAGGAAAGCTTAACAGAGCTTGGTTCAAAGCGGGGACCCCAGTCTCTTCAAGGTTTGTTACCACTTTACACACTTCGTTAGGATGTCTCAAGATTTGTTACGATCTGGCATGAAGATCTGACACGAGGGCAGACGCTTTCATCAATATCTGACACTCTTTGTTACGCTTTCATGAAGGACTGTCAAGCTTTCCAACAAATTGAGACGCTTACATCAAGAATTGAAACGCCTTTTTAGGCTTTGTTACGCTTGACAAGCTTCCTCATGCTCTCTTACGCTCTTTCACGCCGTGCGTCAAACATCATGTCTTATTCAGATAGGTCATGCTCTGGTCCATCTGGAATTTCTTGATCTTGTTGTTCTGCCATCGTGTTCTCGAGTCAAAGATGCAATGGTTTTATGGATCTACTGCATCTTTATATAGTCATTGGATCAAAAGCGGCATGAAATCGGCGATCTCGACATTTTCCAATGCGTGACAGAGCTTAACAGAGCGTAACAATGCACAACAGAGCTTGGCAATCGTATCAGAGCCTGATTTAAAGCGTCATAATCGCATCAAAGCGTAATAATTCTTATCAAGGCTTATCAAAGCGTGATTTCAAGCGTAACAAAGCCTGGTCAAAGCGGGACCAAAGCGTGAGGAAAATATCAGAGTTTTGGAATGCAATGGTTTTATGGATCTACTGCATCTTTATATAGTCATTGGATCAAAAGCGGCATGAAATCGGCGATCTCGACATTTTCCAATGCGTGACAGAGCTTTACAGAGCGTAACAATGCACAACAGAGCTTGGCAATCGTATCAGAGCCTGATTTAAAGCGTCATAATCGCATCAAAGCATAATAATGCTTATTAAAGCTTATCAAAGCGTGATTTCAAGCGTAACAAAGCCTGGTCAAAGCGTGAGGAACCTATCAGAGCTATGTTAAGCTTTCCTACGCTTTGGATCAAGCTTTTCTGAGCTTTGTTACGGTTTGTTAAGCTTTGATACGCTCTCGGCGCTTAATCGATTCGTAACAGAGCGCCCAAAATTTTTAAAAAGTTTAACATTTTTAGGCGCTCTTGCCGAATATCCCGCTTTACTCTGAGCTTTTCTACGACCTATTACGACCCCGACGCTTTAATCAAGCTTTGTTATGCTTTGGTGCCGCTTTACAAGCCGCTTTAAAGCGCCATCAAAGCGCCGTTGGTATGAAGAAAAATGACAAAAATGACGGCGCTTTGCTCGCCGATTTAAAGCGTGGCATTCGCCGTTGGTGTGAACGTACCTTCAGCTTTCCAACAAATTGAGACGCTTTAATCAAGAATTGAAACGCTTTGTTAGGCTTTGTTAGGCTTGATAAGCTTCCTCATGCTCCCTCATGCTCTTTCACGCCGTACCTCAAACATCATGTCTTATTCAGATAGGTCATGCTCTGGTCCATCTGGAATTTCTGGATCTTGTTGTTCTGCCATCGTGTTCTCGAGTCAAAGATGCAATGGTTTTGTTACGCTTGAAATCACGCTTTGATAAGCCTTGATAAGAATTATTACGCTTTGATGCGATTATGACGCTTTAAATCAGGCTCTGATACGATTGCCAAGCTCTGTTGTGCATTGTTACGCTCTGTTAAGCTCTGTCACGCATTGGAAAATGTCGAGATCGCCGATTTCATGCCGCTTTTGATCCAATGACTATATAAAGATGCAGTAGATCCATAAAACCATTGCATCTTTGACTCGAGAACACGATGGCAGAACAACAAGATCCAGAAATTCCAGATGGACCAGAGCATGACCTATCTGAAGAAGACGATGTTTGACGCACGGCGTGAAAGATAAGAGAGCATGAGGAAGCTTGTCGAGCGTAACAAAGCCTAACAAAGCGTTTCAATTCTTGATTAAAGCGTCTCAATTCGTTGGAAAGTTTGAGGGTCCTTCATGAAAGCGTAACAAAGAGTGTGAGAT